TGTATTCCCATTGAGTTTTAGTCTTGGAAGGGGGTTTGCATTGAGGGGACCTGACCATTTGCCTTGATGTTTCCTGGGCAAGCAAGTTGCTTATTCTTGTAGTAACAGTCAGTCTGCCTATGTTGTTTTATATTTTTCCTGTAGGTCTTCCAAGAAGTATCTTCTGTTCTTCTAGCCACTCCAGGTTGGTCTGCTTGTCCTTTCCATTAGGTTTTGATGTTTAGGCTTGAGATTGCTTATCAGTACTAGATAGGAAAGAGTTGATACCAAAGATTTAATTCTGATATTCTCCCTTCTTACAGATTTGTCTGTGGAATATAACTGTGAAAATAAATATGATGGTGTTTCTTCTCTTCTTCCAAATTGTCTCAAAACATGGTCTTCTTCATCTAATCAGAATTTTATATTTATATAATGTGTGAAATACTGGCCTTCACTCTCAACATCTGAACTTGAATCTCTGAGGGTGAAATTCTGGGGTCTAATTTTATAACAAATGACCTTGGGGATTCCAATGTGCACTCAAGTTTGAGAACCACTGCTCTGAGTTCCACTGTTAAGTAGGAAATTTCCTGGGTAGAAAGCATGCAACTAAGTCCAGGACTTTTCCTGTAATGGACCTGTGTTATTGGAATTGGTTTCCTCTCCCAGATCAATAGAGCATGAGTATTTTAGATTTTTTGAAAGAATCTTTGTGTTCCACCAATGTAGCAATCATGTGTTGTAGTTGCCTTATACCATAGGTAATTGCATTTCTTGAATGAGCACTTTTAAAAAGTTTATTTTTTTCCTGATTAAAAAAAAAACAAAACTAAAACTAAAATAAATCTTAAAAAGTCATATGTAATATAATTCATAAACTAGTGACAAGTACTATTGACATGTAATTATTTGTGTGTTAGAGTCCTGGTGTGGCACTACAGGATAATGCACTGGAATGCAAGGTCAGTTTCAATTGTAAGATCGGCAGTTCAAAACTGCTACTTGGCAACCCTATACTGGGTTGCCATGGGTCACAACCAATTCAATGGCAGTTACCAACAACAGCAACATTTGCTTGTTGCTAAGTGCCATCGAGTAGGTTCTGATCCTACAGCGCTACACTGGAGTCCACTATTAATACATGGATCCTTATTTATGACAATGTTGTTGCTGATATTAGTTGCCATTGAGTCAGTTTTGACTCTGATCACCCCATGTGTGCAGATTGGAACTGCTCTATAGGGTTTTCTATTGGAGTCCTGCTATGATGCTGTAGGACAAGCATTGGATTGCTAATTGAAAGTCCAGTGGTTCAAACCCACCAACCACTCCTCTGGCTATGAGTTGGAACTTATTCAACAGCTCTGAACAGCAACAATATAGGGTTTTCAAGCATGCAACCTTTTAGAAGCAGATCACTAGGCTTGTCTTTAAAGGTACCTCTGTGTGATTTCTAACTGCCAGTCTTTCAGCTTATAGTCAAGCTTGGAATTATATTTCACATACAGTTTTACATTCAGCTTTTACATTTAAGTGCGCATCTTATGTCTTTGAAGAAAAACAAATTAAAATGAGGAAATGGCAAGTTTAGTTACCAAAAGTCATTATTTTAATATATTCTTGAAGTATATTTTATCAAGATTGCTTTTAGCCTTCTATCTAAAATACTATGACAAAATCATTATTAAAGGGAACAAAGTAATGACCTTGGTAACTATAGTAACTAACTCAGTAGCGTCCCAGAGTTATGACCCATTTGTAATCATGACCTCGTTGTTCTTTCCTCTCTGTCTCCCCCTCTCCATATCCCACTTGCATAAAGATTCATGTCAAATATTTCTTATTAATATCATGTGAAATTATTTTAGTATACAGAAGATGGTCTGGTGATGATAAAATGAGGTTTTAGCATGTTGGTCTTAAAAGTTTTTCTCTTTTAAACATTTTTAAAATGGATTGTAATCAATCATTTATACTCTATGCAGGTACCCAATCAGGTACAGTTAAAACTCCAGTTGTTCCTCCTATATCAAAAACACTTTATAAAACATGATTTTTATCCAATATGTAAAGGCTTGTGTCTGTGTGTATTATTAGACACATTTTAAAACATTGGTCTCTAGCATTTACTTATTATTGTCAGACATTTTTCTAAATGACTTATAGACATATTATCATTTAATCCTCATGAAGCACTTATGAAGAAATATTGACACCCTGGTGTGGCGCTGTGGGTTAATGCGCCAGACTGCAAAGCTATTTGAACTTCAGGGTTGGTGGTTCAAGCTCACCACCTTCTCCTTGGAAGCCCTACACAGGGTCGCTATGGGTCGGCATTGACTCGACGGCACTTAACAACAACAACATTTTATAGAACTTGCAGCCCAACTGCCCTCAGTCAATAAACTTCAGAGCAAAGATTTACACCCAGAGCCGTCTGCATTAAAATGCACACACTTTCCCATTCTGAGATGTCAAAGGTTAGGAGCCACAGCTCTACCTGCTTCCCAGGAGCTAGAAACCCTTCCTGGGACTGCTTTGCCCAACACTTTGGAATGCAAATTCCCTTCAGCAAACACTTGTTTAGCATAGTTTCACCAGTGGCCTGTCTGTCTAAGGGAGTCAGTGAATATTAAAATAGTCTTAATCATAAAGTAACACGCAGTCAACCGTGTAGCCTTCTTACTAAGGGGAGGAGAACAGCTAGCTTTTCCTGGAGGGCCTGAGAAAGAGCAGTTTACAGGCTCCAGCACAGGGTGTGACCCTTCCCTCCATCTTGGCACTTGTTCATGCTTCCAGTGACCATCATCTTGCATTAGCTCACAGTTTGAACAGAAAACTTTACCAGCGTTCCTTTTCTCCCCCACCCAAAACATAATCAGTCCTTCTGTTGACCTGGCTTCTGATTGGAGGCTGCTTTCTTGGGATAATGTCCTTTCGGACCCTTCTGTTGGTTACAGCCTGTTCATATTATTCTTACCACAACTTAAGAAGCCTGCAGTGGAGTGTGAGGAAGAATAAAAGACCAGTATCTTCACATTCCCAGGTACCAGGAACACAGAAGATTCTGAGTGGACCCAGGGCTGGCATCTGTCCATGATTTCCTTCTGGAAAGTCTGCTTGCCAAGATGAGGGATCTTCTTCAGTATACCGCCTGCTTCTTTGCCCTTTTTTCTGCTGGATTTTTGATTGTGGCCACCTGGACAGACTGTTGGATGGTGAATGCCGATGATTCTCTGGAGGTAAGAAGTCAGCAGTCTCTCTTTCTGAACCAAGTCCACCCAAATCTTCTCTTAGCTTCCTTCAATGCCTGCCCCTAAGTACATTTATGAGGACTAGCAATAACAGTAATAGTCAATGTAGACTTAATTACTTACTGCTTGCTTCTCAATAACACAATTAATGTAAATCAATTAACTCAATTAACCCCTCACAGCAAATATATGAGGTAATTATTATTATTATCCTCATTTTACAGGTCAGGTTATTGAGCAAACCTACCCCCTTTTTTGAAAATAAAGATAACTTCATGAATTGATACTAGCATGCTCCCTGCTATTGAATCCTTCCTTGTCTCATCTTCTTTCAAAGATGAATTTGCTAATCTTGCTAGAGGACAATCAATAGGGTATTGGGCTTTCTTAAAGAATGATAAAAGTCTCAAACATTGACTAATGGACTCAAGGCATAGAAAATGTACCTACTAATAGACAACAGAGCTACCATATTTTAAGGAGTAGAGCAAAATATTCCAAGGGAGGAAAAATATATTCCCAGTGTACCCCCAAGGAATAAGGGACATATCTGTATTTGAAAAATTATCTCTTAAAAGGGAATTGTTTTGGGAACATGAGCATACAAGAAATGGGTTCACATTTGAGGATTTTATTTTTCTCACTCCAGAAACTCAGATAGAAGTAATTTTGAAGTTCAGAAGTATGGTCATACAAATCTGAGGTAGAACTGAATAAAAATCAAATCCTCAGAATCTGTTGCCATTCTACAGTAAGGTTTAGGAAATTGTAGGTAGGAAAAAAGAAACAATATATTAGAACTCAATAAAAGTGTATATAGAAACCCAATTTGCTCTTTTATGTACATCCTGAAGGTAACAATTTACTCAAACAGATGCTATAATATCACAGCTATGAAGTTTAGGAAAGATCCCCAAGAGTGAGTTTATATATATTTTTTCTCCTAATTTTATTTAACAGGCTTTCAAGTTAGAAATATAAATGGAGAATAAAAGTCTTTTGATATTGCTGGGTAATATTTTTGCCATTTATTTTCTTTGCTTTCAACTTTCTTCTGACTTATATATGGCATTTCAAAACAAATGGAGTTAGAAATATCTCTTTAGTGCTAGAGAATTTTATTTCAAAAAATTGTGATATAATTAAAATAGTATAAAGGATTCCTTCTTTGAGTGAATCTAATCATGCAGATTTTCTGGTATGCATATGAGCAATGAATTAAAAAAAAAAAAAATTCGATGACCAGTGGTCAAAGAAAACTGCAGATAAACCATTCTGATTTTATTAGCTTACCATTATCTTAACTGTTAGTAGGCAGTTATATGTTGTTAGTAGCAGAAATATATTGGATTTGAATATAACTAAAATTGTGTTTTTAAACAGCTAACATTTGCAAAATCCAATAAAAAGGCATTGTTAAAATATTTTCTAAAACAAATTGAAAATCATTCTGCTTAAGCTGAATGAATTGCTAACTTCATTTGATATGAAATAGAGTTTTAAGAAGGGTCAAAACTTGCTGAGTGAGAAGTTGAAAGTTCTGACAGTTAAAATGCCTTTTTGGTTTTAAGTACATCCAACTAATTTTCTACCTGCCCTGTAGAAGAGCACCGCTAGTCAAAAGGAAAGAGATGTGCAGGTCAGGTTATTCTCTTTGAATAAATTCTTGCTGACCTTAGACAAGAGACAGTATTTCTAAACTTCTTTCTTCTTTCTTGTACATGAAATGTAATGAAATAAATAATTCCCCCAAAGCCTCCTTATTACAAGAAGAGTCCTGTAGGAAAGAAGCCCCACCCCTTTATCTCCCGCAATCTCTAATAGTTTTTAACATATGAAAGAATATAATTCTCACATAATAATTGTTCTTGCAATTGAGCAGAATATAAATGCATACCATAATTTCTAATTTTTGTAGGTTCTGATATTAACTTACTTCATTATACCACCCTCCCTCTTTATTGTTGCTGTTGTTAAGTGCCGCCGAGTCGGTGCCGACCCATAGCGACCCTGTACAGGGTTTCCGAGGGTGTAAATCTTTACGGGAGTAGAAAGCCTCATCTTTCTCCCGCGGAGCGGCTGGTAGTTTCGAACCGCTGACCTTAAGGTTTGCAGCCCGATTCGTTACCACTACGCTACCAGATTACCACCACCTAAAATCATTTATCACCTATGGAGTCCTGGTGTGAAGCACTGGACTGCTGACCTCAAGGCCAATGGTTCAAACCCACGAGCTGCTCCTCAGAAACCATATACAGGGTTGCTCTGAGTTTTAACCAGTTCCATAGCACTTAATAAAAACAACAATATGATCCATAAAAACAATTCACTATATACAACTGTTGGATAAAAATTGATGCAACAAAATTTGTTTTAAAAAGTATTGTTGTTGTTAAGTGTTGGTAAGTCGATTCTGACTCAGTGACACTGTATAGGGTTTCTGAGGAGCAGCTGGTGAGCTTGAACCACCAACCTTGCAGTTCAAGTAGACTTTGCAGTCCAGCACATTGACCTGCAGAGCCACTCCATACTAATGACAAATCTAAATAAGGAAGATCTTATGGATTTCTAGGTTTGTTAATATTTTAGGATGATTTAGGCATGAGAGTTGGAAGATGTGTTCTTTGAGACATTCAACATAATGAAATATTATATATAGATAACATGTAACAGGTACTATGTTACATCCCCTTCTTATGAAAAGCCAAGATAAAGCAAGACTGGGACCCTGCCACCAGGAGTGTATATTTAGTGTAGGGAAGAAAAGATAAACATGTAACTATGAAAAAGCATATTTCAATTCATATTTTGAGAAATAAAGTGCAAGCGGGGTAGAGAAGACAAGATAACTGTCTCTTTTTAGGACATATGGGCAGGTCTCTTGGAGGAAAAAACACTTTTAAAAAAGCATTCTCCAAAGAATATAAAAAATAGAAATAGCAAAAGGAGAGGTATTTTAAACAAAAATGTTGCAGTGTTGTAAATGTACAGAGTAAGGAAAAGTTCAGGGATAGTTAGAGGATTATGGTGAGCAACAGGATATACAAGGGAGAGAGAGTCAAAATTCAGGTAGTCCTTGATTTATGATGGGGCTCACATGGGGTCCGTTTCCTATGACTCATTGTTGTAAGGTGGTTCTGTTTTAAGCCAGTTCTGAAGTAAGTCAAAAATCTTTTTTTCCCCCCCATTGGTATTTCCTTTTATTATCAGTATCAGTATATTTCTGATCTTTGAACATCTGAGTGAATAGCTGAGAGTGATAATGTTAGTAAATTATGTACTGCAACATTGATATAGTATATATTATTATATATATTACTAAGGATAAGATGTACAAAAACAAACAAAACAGATGATTGTAAGTGTGGTTCATTGTAATTCAAGTACATTGCAAAGTGGCTACAGTTTTTATACAATATTGCTGCCTCAGAGTGAAATTCCTTGTATGAAGTAAAAAGGTTGACTAAAAGTAAATGACACATGAAACTCGAGTGTGCACATCCCTAAATCAGAGGTTGCGGGTCTGATTTAACATCTTGCTCCTGCCATTTTTTATTTATATGTGCCTCTGGTAAGACTGATATGGTGAAAAACCACTTGGGTTTGAGATTACTCAAACTTGTCCTTATATCCTAACCCTTATTAACTGCCTTCTATTGAGCAAGTCCTGGAGTCCTGCAGTGAGGCTGTAGGATAAGCACTGGACCACAAGGTCGGCTTGAACCATAAATTCAGCAGCTCAAACCCACCAGTTGCTACTTGGAAACCAAATACAGAGTTCATATGAATTAGAATTTACTCAACAGCACTTCACATCAGTAAGAATTGAGCAAGTCATAACCTTTGTCTTAGACTCAGCTCCTTCAACTACAAGATGAGTTGAGCTCAGTTGTCTCTATTCTTTTTAGTCTTTGTTATTGTTGTTAATCCAACTCATAGTGACCCTGCACAGGGTTTCTGAGGCTGTAAATCTTTACGAGTGCAGAATGCCTCATCTTTCTCCTGCAGAACCGCTGGTAGTTTCCAACTGCTGACCTTGAGGTTAGCAGCCCGTGTTATAATCACTACGCTACCAGAGCTTGATTTTCTGACTTTGTCTGAAATATCACAGAGACGGTAATCTCTGAAACACCTATGGTCCCCAGAGCCCGTTCAAAAAATTTCCAGTAGGAATTGATTGTGACTCTTCATTATTTTTGTGTAACTTCATAACTTTCTCCATTTCCTTGGTTCCTTTTTCTCTTCCTCTTTCTTTTTTTTTTTTTCTCTCCTCTCTATTCTCTCTCTCACTCTCCTTTTTTCCCCTTTTCTAGTCTTCCTTCTCTTCTCTTTTTTCTTTCTATTTATTTTATCTACTTACTTTCTCTTCCAGTTATTTTTCCCTCCCTTTCTCTATTCACAACTCCCCGCCCCACTTTTTTTCTATTTTCCTTTGTTTCATAAATACTCCTTGACATCTCATCTGTACCTGGATTGTGCTAGATTAGGGTTACGAAGGAAAATGAGATCTGGAGCTGCCTCAAAGTATTGAGGGAGGCTGACAGTTGATCTTATAGCAGTAGTAGGTTGGTGGTTCAAGCTTACCAGCCACTCCTTGGAAACCCTATACAGGGTCAATCTGGGTAGAAACCGACTTGACAGCATTTAACAACAACAACAAGCATGTGCTATGGTGTGTCACTGTGGGATAAAGCACTGTGCTACAAGGCCGGTTTGATCCACAAAGTCAGTGGCTCAAACTCACCAGCTACTCCTTGAAAATCCTATACAAGGTTGCTATGAGTTGGACCTGACTCGGCTGCACTTAACAACAACTACAGCAAAAAATATGTGCTATGATCACGATTAACCTTGAGTAGGTAACTCCCAATAATCAGACTACTGATTAATTGGATAATTAATTGGATAATCAGACTACTAAGAAGAATCTATATCTAAACTATTACTTGAAGGAGAAGTCGGAATGAGGCAGGACAAGAGAACAAGTG